CCGAGGCGAGCGCCAACCGACCGAGGAACCGCCAAGCGCAGCAAGGGGGCAGCGCTAACCAAACAGGGGACCGCTAGCCAAGAGTAGGTCAGCGGACCGCAATCCAGGAAGAGGGACCGACAGCGCAGCTGAAAAAACGGGGGAGCGCCAACCAAACGGGGGACGCAAAGCCGAGTAGGGGAAAAGCGGACCGCAAAGCGAGCCTTCGGAACAGGAGGGCAGGTAAGAATCCAAGGGGAGCGCAACCAAAAGGGGGGGAAGCAGGCACACAGAACAACAGAGCAACACAGGCAACCCACAGGGACAAGGGCCGGAAGCGGGGAGAAGCGGAGAAACGAAACCGAGTGCGTGGAGCAGGCCCACAAGACGAAGAAGAAGCCGAAGGGGGGCAGACGGCGTACGCCGAGGCCAACGGGCAGACCAAGGCAACGAGCAGGGAAGAGAGAAGACGCAGGAGCCTACTGAAGGGCACCCGGAAACAGCAAACGAGACAGAGGCACGAGAGACGGAGGCCGTGGGGGATCACCACGAGGGGCTCGGGGGTAACAAACAAACGGGGAAGCCGGGCGAGCGCGAAGGGCGGACGAGGGCCAGCGATCGAGCCCGGGGAAGGCGGCCCCCGGCCGAGAAGGGCGGGAGCGGGCCGGAGCGGGGGACCCGCACCCACGGCGACCCGCGGGAAAGAGGCCCACGGGGAGAGCCGGCGGCCCCGGGGGGGCCCCCGACCCCGGCGGGGGCCCAACGGACGCCGGCGAGCGGGCCGAGGGCGAGGGGGAGGGGGCCGGGGGGCCGGGCGGAGGGAAGGAGGCGGAGAGAGGCAGGCGAGGGGAAGGGGGAGCCCGGGGGCCGAGGCGGAAGAAGGAGGAACCCCGGAGGAGGATGCGGAGGAGGGGAGGAGCACGCAAGAGGGTGGCGGGAGCGAGGGCGCCCCCGGCCCAAGGGGGCAAGGGGGGGGCAGGGGGGGCCCGAGGGGGAGGGGGCGGAGAGCCCCAGGCGGGGGGCCGAGCGAAAGGGGGGAGGCCGGAGCGCGGGGCAGGACGCGGCGGCGGGAAGAGGGACGACGCGCGGGCGGCGGGCCACGGGGGGGGCGAGCAAACGGGGACAGGGCAGCGGCGGGGCAGAGGCCGGGCGGCGGGCAGAGAGCGACGTCGGGGGCTGGCGGGCCACGGGGGGGGGCGAGCGAAAACAGGAGGAGGAGCGGCGGGCAGCGGCGGGCGAGCGACCGCGCCGGGGGCGAGACGGGGCAGGGGGCGCGGGGCGGGGCAGAGCCGAGAGGCGCGTGACCCGCAGGGAGGCGGCAGGCGAAGGGGGCCGGGGCGCACAACAAAGGGGCGAGGGGAGGAGAGAGGGAGGGGGGAGGAGGAAAGGGAGGAAAGCGGGACAGAGGGACAGGCGAGGGGGAGAGGGGGGGGGAGGAGTGGGACGGGGCGCGAGCGGGGAGGCGGGGCGGCGGGGAGGGGGGGACGGGGACGGGGGGAGCCCAGCGGGCGAGGCGAGGCCCGGGGGAAAAGCGGAGAGGCGCGTTAGGAGAGAGCGGCAGGCGGCGAAAGGGGGGCGGAGAGCGAGGGAGAGATGCGAGAGGGAGGGAGGGCAACGCGGGGGAGGGGGGGCGGGCAGCAGCGCGCGCCGGAACAGAGAGAGGGGGCGGGCAGGCACAGAGAGGAGACACGGGAGCCGCGAGAAGCGGGGAGCGGAGAAGGGAGAGGGGCCGGGGGGCCGGGGGCCAGGGGAGGCAGGTACAGGAGGGAGGAGACGAGGAGGGAGCCGGGGCACCGGAGGCGCGAGCGCAGGGGTGGCAGAGCACCCCGTGACCGGGAGGGTTAGGCGGGCGAGGTGAAGGAGAAGTTGACCGGGGGAGAGAAGGCGGAAAAGGTGGAAAAAGGGCAGGGACAAGCGAGGACGTCGGCGAGAGGGGGGAGGGGCGAGAAGGGCCGAAGAGCAGAGGGGCAGAGGAAGAAGAAAAACCAGCGAGGCACAGGCAGGGGGCACCTAGGAGAAGCACCGGCCGCAAACCAACGGTCCAACAAGGGCCGGGGCGAGAGGCGGGGCCAGCCCGGGCGAGGAAACGAGCCGAGGAGTCGCCGGGCGGGGGCCGTAGAGCCGGCAGGGGGGGGGCGAGGCGGGCCGAGGGAAGCTCCCGCCCAAGGGCCGGGGGAAGGTGGGCCCGGTTGCAGGGGCCAGGCCCTTGCAGCCGCAGCGACGGGGCGGTGGGCAGACCAGAGGGGGCAGGGGGGCGCGAGGACCTCGGGGCAGGCGGAACGCACGAGGGGGCGGGGAGGGCGGGAAGGGGAGGAGAAAGGAGGCAGGGGAGAGGGAGAAGGGGGGATGAAAGAGCGGCAGAGAAAGGGAGCGGAGGGGGCGGCGGGGGGAGGGGCGGGCCGTACGGGCCGAGGAGAGGGTGAGGAGGGAAGACAGAGGGCAGAACACGGGGGGAAGAAGACGGGTGAGAAAAGCGCGTGAGCCGGAAAGGGGGGGGGGCGCCAAGCAAAGGAGGCCGAAAGGAGGGACAAAGAAAAGGGGGGAAGGGCACGGGCAATAAGGCGGGAAGGGGGAGGAGGATGGACGGGGAGGAGAGGGGTGAGGGCAAGAGCAGGCCGAAACGTACGGGCCGAAGGGGAGCGAGAAGGGGGGTGAAGGTAGTGAGGGGCAAAGCAGTGAGGGAGGGGAAGGGGGATGGGGCACAGCAAAGAGAAAGGAGAAGTCAGAGGGACAGGGAAGGCCAGGGGGAGCAGAGAGGGGGAAAAGGGAGAAGGGGCCCAAAGGGAGGCCGAAGGATGAGGGGCCAAAAAGCGGCAGGGCCAGGGTAGACAGCGGTGAGCGGGCCGGGGAAAAGGACGGGAGAAGGAGGTGCAGGGCGGGGTGCAGAAGGGAAAGGGGCAGAGAGGAGAGGCAGGAGGGAGAGAGCGAGAAGAGCGAGGGGGAGGAAACCGGGTGGGGGAGGACCCGGGGGACGACGGCCGCGCAGAAGGAAATAAGAAAGGGAACAGGGCGGGGGCAGGAGAGGGAACGCGCGGGAAGGCCCACGGGACAAGTGGGAGAAACGGCCGCCAGGCGGGGAAGAGGGGTCAGGGGGGGGACGGGAAAAGGCGAGACCGGGAGAGGGCGGGGAGGAGAGTGAGCATGAGGGCGGCGAGGGGGCCGGACCGTGGATGAGGCGGGCACTCGATCGGTGAAGGCCGACCGCAGCCAGTAGGAAAGAAAAGCGAGGCAGGGCGACGCGAAGAAAGCGAGGCATGGCTACGCGAAGAGGAAAGCGAGGCAGGGGACGCGTAAGAAAGACAAAGAGCAAGCGAGGCCGGGGGCGCGAAGAGACCTCCACAGAAAAGGAGGGGAGGGATCAACGAGGGTGAGAAGGAGACTGGGCCGAGAGCCCAGCGGAGGGCAGGCGAGGGAGGAGGGACGAGAGGGCAGAAGGAGAAGTGGCACAGAGGGCAGAACGAGAATGGGGCACGAAGATGACAGAGGGAGAAGGAGGACCCGAGATGGTTAGAGGGAGGAGGATGGCCGGAGGGGCATAGGGAAGGGAGAAGCGCTGAAGGGCGGGGGAGGAACGGAGGCAGGAGAGGTGAAGGAGGGCCGAGAGAGGGAGGAGGGGCTAGGTGGAGGGGGGAGGAGGAGGAGTGGAGAAGGGGGTGAGGGAGGGAAGCAGGCCGGGTGGAAGAGGAGAAGGGGCGAGCAAGAGAGAGAGCTGGGAATGGAGCGGAAGGGGAGCGAGTGGGGGAAGGGCGGAGGGTAGAAGGGGGGCAAAGGGTGGGGCCAAAGAAGACGGCGAGGACGGGACAGGGGGGAGGGGGGATACGGAGCGGCGGTGCGAAACAGGTTTTTTTGAGGGGCGAACGGCGAACGGGGGGGGCAAACCCCGGGCAGGGGGCCCAACGGGCGGAGAGGGGCAAGTGGACGAGGGGAGTAGAGCGAAGAGGCGAATACGCGAGGAGGGTGAGGAGGGCAGGATGAGGGAAGGGGAGACGGAGGGGAGGAGGGGGGAGACCACGGGGGGGGCCCCCAAGGACGGGAAGGAAGGAAGGGCAATGGAGGGGGAACGGAAGGAGGAGGGCGAGCCGGAGCCGGGGCAAGCACCTGGGGAGAGGGGGGGGCAGGGACAGGCCCAGAAGGGGGGAGGGTGAAGGTGTGGGGAGTCCGCCGGCCGGAGTGAGGAGCGGGAGGGGGTGAGAACGTGGGAATAGAAGGGGAAGAAAAGGAAGGGGTGGGACAGGGAGGCCCCATCGAGCGAAGAGCCAAGCAAGCGGGGGGGCAGAAGAGAGTGGCAAAGGAAAGACCGGCAAGCGAGGAAGGAGTGAGCAAAAGGGCCGCAAGCAAGGGGGCTCGGAAAAAGGGGATGGGGGAGGCAGGCGAGCCCGGGCAAAGGGGGGGAGCAATCGGGTACGCAGCGGGGCGGGATGAACAGAACCAGGAGGTGGGAGAGCCAGGGGCGTCACGGGAAAAACGGGCGCATGTGGGGGGGCCGGGGCAACGGGCAGGAGCAGAACAAACAACCGAGGGCGGGTGGCCACCCAGGGGAGAACGAGGGGCGGGGAACAGTGCGGGGCGAGGGGCCAGGAAAGCCACAGGGAGAACAGACAGGGCGCGGAGGAGGGGAGGAAACGGCGGGAAAACCGGGAGCCAGGGCGAGGGGGAGGAGAACCACGCGACGGCGGGGAGGGGGCAGCCCAGGGACCCCAGGGGGGAACCGTCGGGCGGGGGGGGATAACCAGAGAATAAGCTCGCATCCAACAGGGAGGAAGGGGGGGGGCAGCAGTAAGCGGAGAGGGAACAGACGCAGGAAGGCGCAGGGAATGGTCCGCGGAAGATAAAGGGAGGGGGAGGGGCGATGGGGCGGCCGGCCAAGCGCCAAGAATCCCGAAAGCACACATGGAGACACGTGCAGGGAAGCCAGGTAGGCAAGGGCCGGTGGACGGGAGCGCAGCCAGAGAGGGTGGCAAGGGGGCAAAAGAAGCACGCATCAGGGAAGTTCACAGGGGCGAGCGGCAGGAAGCGCAGCAGGGAGAGCGGAAAGGGAAAGAGAGCGGCGGCGCGGAAACCTGGCGCGGAGGGGGCGCAGAGGCGGGCAGCGGAGCCAACCAAAGAAGGGGGGATGCGAGCGCGAGGGAAAAGGGCGCGCAGATAGCCAGGGGCCACCAGAGGAGGGCAGCGCGCAAGAAAGAGAGGGCACGGCCCTTAGGGGGGGAGGGGGAGTGGGGCCAGCCACAAAACCCCGAAGGGGGGCTGAGCGACGGCAAGGCCAAGCGCCAGGGCCCGGGCCCAGGGGGAGAAGGGGGGCCACGGAGAACAGGGGAGACCAGAATGGAGGGAAGGAGGCGGGGGCGGAGGCAAGAAATAGTGGAGGACAGCGGCGGGCGGAGCAAAAGCGGCGGGCGGAGGGACGGGCGCCTGGGCGGCGGGAGCAATCGAGGCGACGACAGGGGGCAGCCGAGGCCGGAGGGCGAAGCGAGGCGGGGGGCCAAGCCAGGGATGCGGAGGGGCGGAGACCAGAGGACAAAAAAAGAGAAGGCAGTAAAGGAGACAAGTTGAGAAAGAAGAGACAAGAGGCTGAGAGACAAGGGCGACGGATGCGAAACAGGAGAACAGATATAGGAAAGTAAGAGGACGAACAGACGAACGAAGGGGAACCAAACCAAATGGAAAAACGAATCGGCGGCCCGGCGCGGCGTAAGAAATACGCCCCCGAAGAGTAGGAAGGACCGACCCGGAGAATAGAGTAGGAGGAAGGACCGGAAGGGCGCAGCAGGAAAAGAGGGGGGCAGGCGGCAAGAGCGCAAAAGTCGGAGGGAAGAGGCGAATGGGCAGAAGGGAGTTGGCGGCCCAGAAAAGAAGAGGGGGAAGTAGCGAGCGAGCGGGGGAAGAGAATGGGAAAGGGGGCGGAGAGAGCAAACAAACAAAGGGCGGGTGCAGGGAAAAGGGGGGTGAAGGTAACTAAGACAGAGATGGCAGGAAGATGCAGGGTGGAGAAACAGGGCAGAGGCAGGCAGGAGGGCAGGAATGAAACAGGCAGGCAGGCAAAAGAGCGCAAAGCGAAGGAAGCCGAAGAAAAAAGCAGGGGCACGGGGAGAAGGAGGGGCGGAGGGAGACACGAAAAAGAAAGGGACGGGGGGAGGAGGTAAACAAAGAGGGCGGGCGAGGGAGGGAGAGGGTCAAGGGAGGGGTCGCGTAGAGGGGGGGAGGGGAAAAAAAAAAGTGGAGGACTCAAAGGGAAACGGGGGGAGAGGGGCGGCAAGAGCAGAAGGGGAGAGCAAAGGGGGGGGAGAAGGGGAACAGGGAGGGAGGTCGGGGATGCCTGAGTGCACGCAGCCAGCAGAGTGAAAAGGGAAAAAAACGCAAAGGAGCAGAAAGAGTGGCACCGCGAGAAGGCAGGCCGGTAGAAAAGAAGAGGAGAAAGGGAGAGGGGGAGAGGGAGGGGGCCGAGAGACTGGGAAGGACGAGGGACGGAAGGGGGGACAGAGGAAGCGAGGACGGGGGGGTGAGCAGAGGGGTTAAGGGGGGGAAGGGGAGGGGGGGGGAACGACAAGGGGGCCGGGCGGCGGAGGAACCATGGGAAGGCAGCAGGAGGGAACAGAGCGCAAAGAGGCGGCGCATGCACAGCGGGGGGACCGGGGAAGAGAAACCGTAGAAAGAAGAGAAAGGAGGAAGGAGGAGGCGAAGGACAAGGGAAGGGGCGCAGGGCAAGGGCAACCGGAAACAGCAAGAGTAAGTGAAGGGGGGGAAAAGTAGGAGGGGAGAAGGAGGAAGGGGGGACGATACGGAGAAGGTGGGAGGAAAAGGACGAAAGGATATCGAAAGGGACGAGTAGGGGAGAGAGCGGGCAGGGGAGCGGGAAAAAACGCAGGAGGGGGGACAAGGGAAGGGAGGCGAGGACCAGGGCAAGCGGGGGGCGGGCCAAAGAAGGAAGGCACGGGAAGGGGAGCGGGGCCACACAGGGAGAAGGGGAAAAGGAGGGGGGGACCGCAAGCGGCCGGGGGCAACAGGAGGGGTACAAGGCAAGAATACTGACGGCGGAGGGCGGGAGGACGCGAGGGAGGGCAGGCAGTCGTAGAACGCCTACGCCTGAGGGACGAGGGGACGCGGGTACTGGGAGAGTAGGCCGAGGCACTGGAACGCAGTGGAATCAGGGGGGGGGAAGACAAGGGCCAGCAGGGCGCAGCGGGGAGCAGAAAGCGAAGGGTGCGCGGCGGCCCCAGGGAGGACGGCATCGGGGAAGGCCGCCGGAACGGGACCGGGGCGGAGGCCGACTAGGGTCCGCCAGGACGCGCCAAGAAGAACAGCGGGGGCCCACCGTCCCAGCCAATTTTGCTGGAGACCAAACCGAACCGACTAAGGAAGGGCGGGGGGTGCGGAACACATAGGTGGGGCAGGGAGACGGACAGGAGGGAAGGGAGGGAGGGAGGGCACCAAAAGCCTAGCGCCTGTCCGGTCACGCCGGCCGGCCGCCTACGAGACCGCCGACGCCGGGCCCACGGCCGAAGCCGGGGGGGGAGGTAGGGAGGCCGTCCAAGAGCAAGCAGGAGGGGCGAGGCGTGGGCGCCGCCCGCGCCGACGAGGGAGGCCCGAGCCGGGGGCGGCGGACGAAGGCGGGCCCGGGGGGAGGCGAGCGGTTCAAGCGCGAGAGCCGCGGCCGCAGGAGTCGCGCACGCGAAAGTCCGGGGGGGCAGGGACAAGGGGGAGAGCAAGGGGACGCAGCCGGGGAAAACGTACAGCGGCCGGGGCACAGGGAAGCAGGAGGAACGAACCCGAGCCGGCCAAAACCGTGAACCCGAGAGGAGCAAAAGTCGAGTGCAGCGGTCGCAGTGGGAGCCGGAGGTCCGGGCAGTGGACGGTGGCGCGCGGGCCGGGAAGGGCAACCAGGAACCCGTCAAGGAGTGGGCGGACTGCCGCGGGGCCATAGGGAAGTGGAGCGCCAGCGGGGACGAGGGGGTGCCCGCGGGAGAGGAACCAAATCCAAGGAGGCAAGGAAGAGAAAGAGGGGCCCAAAAAGGCGTGCAAAAAGGAAAAGAGAGAGATGGGAGTCAAATGGACCGGAAACCGCACTGAGAAACCGGGGGCGCGAAGCCCATGGGAGCGGCAAGGACGGTCGAGGGGGCAAGCGGCAAGCAACGAGAGGCGAAGCGGAGGTCCGGCGAGGCAAATGAACGGAGGCCACGAACCGAAGCGAAGGGGAAAGAAAGGAATGGGGGAGGCCAGTCCACGAAGCAATGGGCGAGGCGAGGCCCACGACGAGGCCACGAAGGGAGGCCACAAGCAGCCGGAAGGGGCTGACACAAGGGTAAAGAAAAACGGAAGGAAGGGGAGGAGGAATAGCCGCCTGGAAATAGGGAGAGGGAGGGCCGATGGAGAGGGAGAGGGGCAGCAGTGGAAGCCGAAAGACAAGGCGGAAAAAGAGGCCGAAACCGAATAGAGAAGCAAGGAAAGATAGGCCGAAGGGAGAAAGGGAGGGAAGGAAGCCGGGCGAAAGACAAACGATGGGGAGAAAAGGAGTGAAGGAAGCCCGGGCGAAATGGCAAACGAGGGGGGGCGCGGGAAGTGCAACAGGGAAAAGAAGAGGATCCAAAAAGAAGAAAGCGGAGGGGGGCCGAAGGGAAGCGCCAAAAGCAGCACGGAAACAGGACAAAAAGCCGGGAGCTGCGGCAGCAGCGGGGCAAAGGCGCGGGACGGGGAGTGGCATCCAGCGTGGAGCAGAAACAAGAAGAGGGCGCGGAGGGGGGAACGTGGAGCGGGGGAGGGGGCAAAGGGGACGGCGGGAGGGATCGCAGGAGGGTGGGCCGCAGCACCCGGCGCAGGGCGGGAGACGAGGCGGCGGCGCAGCCGGGGGGGGCAAAAGACGCAAAACCGCCGGGAAAAGCAACGAGCCGGCAGCGACGGGAAATGCAGCGGCGCATGGGGCGAAGGCGAACAAGGTGGGGGCGGGCGGGGCTAAGAAGGGAGGAGGAAGGCAGGGCACGGAGTGCAAAAGGGGAGAACGGAGTCTGGGCACGAAGCGGGGGCAGGTGACAAGCATGGAGGATCCACCAGCGCAGGGCCAAGAGCACCGACCCAAACAAGGCAAGAGAGGAGGGGGGCGCAGATGGGGAGGCCAGAACACGAGGCGACCAACCAGGCGGACCCGATGAGATGGCGCACGGAAACCATCTGCGGAGGAAGAGAGTGGACGAATCGGGACGGGGGGCGGGGAGGGAGGGGGAGCGAGGACGGCAGGGGGCAGGCGGGGCATAGACCCCGGCGTGGCGGCGGTGTCAAGGGCGGAGGAGGCGGCAGGGGCCACGGGGGCAAATGGGAGAGCGGTGCAAATTAAGGGCAGTAGGAGAATAAAGCGGGGCGGTGGAGGGGAAAACCCACCGGGGGGGTGTTGGGTTAAGGATTTTGTATTGTTATATTATTGTTATTCTCTTATAGGAATGTGGTTCTGGGGGCGAGGCAAGGAGTGCGGTGCGGGACGGGTACACGCGACCGCGGCAAACATGGCGCCGGCAGCGGGCGGGGCAGCCCGGGCCGCAACAGCAGGGGGCGCAAGCTGGCGTAGGGCAGCCGCAGCAGCGGGGCGGAGGCGGAGGCGGCAGGCGGAGGGGGGAGCGGGAGGGAGGGGGCAAAGAAGGGAGACACAAGGAAGGGAACGGCGACCCCGAACGGGGCACACCAGGGAACGAAGAGAAAGGCACGCGCAAGGCCAAGCGGCGGGGACGAGCGGCCGAGAAGGGGGGAGAGGGGAACACCCCGGGGGACGACCCCAAGAGCAAGGAAAGCAGGGAAGCAAGGACCAAAAGAAAGAAGGAAAGCACAAGAAGGAAGTGAGGAAGGCCCACCAGAGGCCACGGGCCCGGAGCCCGAAACCCAAGCCGGAGGCCAAAAGAAGAGAAGGAGCAAGCCCAGAAGAGGGCCGAACGAGGACGCCGAAAGAGAGAAAGAGGGGGACGAGAGGCACCGAGAAACCCCCCACCAAGAAGAACGCCCACCCCCAAAGAGCGCCAAGAAGCCCCGAGAAGAAAGCAAGAAAGCAAGAAAGCGGAAAGAAAGACCCGGCAGAGCAAGGAAGGAAGGAAGGCGAAGAGGGAACCCAGGGCGCAACAAAACCGAGGGGCAGAGCGAGGAGGCGCCGGAGGAGGGCCCCAGAGTGAGGGGGGAGGAGGAGGGGGAGGAGGAGGAGGAGGAGGGAGGGAGGAGCCAGGGGGAGCGGGAGAGCGGGAGAGGGGAGAGGCGGGGAGAGGAGGGGGGCGGGAGGAGGAGAGGGAGGCGGAGGAGGAGGGGCGGGGAAGGGAGGAGGCGGGAGGAGGAGGGGGGGGAGGCGGACCGAAGCGGGAGGAGAAGGGAAAGGGGGCGGGGGAAGGGAAAAGGGAGGAGAACCCGAGGGGGGGAGCGGAGGAGGGGAGGCGGGGGGAGGGGGGGAAGCGCAGGGGGGGGGAGGAGGGGGAGAAAAGCAGGAGAGGGGAGGGGCCGGGGGGGCGCGGAGGGGAGCCGGGAAGGGGCGACGGGGGCGGAGGGCGGGGGAAAGGGGCGAAGCAGGGGGCGGGGGCACAAGGGGCCCGGGCGGGGGGGAGAAAGAGGCAGGGGGGGGGAGGGGGGAGGGGGGACCGCCACCGACCCGGCCGGAGAGGAAGCCCCGGCATGCGGGCAGCCAGCGGGGCGGGCAGCGGTCCGGCCGGCGACCCGCGGCCCGGAGAGCCGGCGGGCCAGCGGCGGGGGGCCCCACCCACCGGCGACCGCCGTGGAAGGGCCCCAGCGGGGGGGCGGCGCCGGGGGAGGGGCCCCGGCCCCCGGGGGGCCCAACGGACGCCGGGAATGCGGGGCCGAGGGCGAGGGGGAGAGGGCGGGGACCGGGCGGAGGGGGAGGAGGCGAGAGAGGGCAGGCGAGGGGAAGGGGGAGCCCGGGGACCGAGGGGAAAGAAGGAGGAACCCCGGAGGACGAGGCGGAGGAGGGGAAGGAGCACGCAGAGGGGGGGAGACGGGGCGCCCCCGGCCCAAGGGGGGAAGGGGGGGGCAGGGGCGGGCGAGGGGGAGGGGGGCAGGGACCCCGAGGGGGGGAGAGCAAGCGGGCGAGACGGGCAGGCGGGGGGGCGGAGAACCAGACCGGCGGGGAACCAGGCGGGGAGAGACCGGGCAGGGAGAGAAAGAGGAGAGAGGACGAAGGGCCACGAGACGGGCAGGCGGAAGGGGGGGAGAACCAGACCGGCGGGAACCAGGCGGGGAGAGACCGGGCAGGGAGAGAAAGAGGAGAGAGGACAAAGGGCCACGAGACGGGCAGGGGAAGGGGGGAGAACCAGCCCAACGGGGAACCAGGCGGGGAAAGACCGGGCAGGGAGAGAAAGAGGAGAGAGACGGCGGGCAGCGGGCGGGGGCGAGCGACCCCGCCGGAGGGGGAGACGGGGCAGGGGGCGGCGGGGCCGGGGCAGAGCGAGAGGCGCGGACCCGCAGGGAGGGGCAGGCGAGGGGGCCGGGGGCGCCAACAAAGGGGGCGAGGGGAGGAGAGAGGGAGGAGGGGGAGGAGGAGGGGGGGAGGGACGAGGGAGGGAGGCGGGGAGGGGAGGGGGGGAGGAGGAGGAAGGGGGCGAGCGGAGCGGGCGGGCCGGGGGGAAGGGAGAGGCGGGGGAGAACGGGGGCGGGGGCGAGCCCGAGCGGGCGAGGCAGGCCCGGGGGGAAAAGCGAGAGGCGCGGAGGAGAGAGCGGCAGGCGGCAAAAGGAGGGGCGGAGAGCGAGAGAGAGAGCGAGAGGGAAGGGAGGGCAACGCGGGGGAGGGGGGGACCAGCAGCGCGCGCGGAACAGAGAGAGGGGGCGGGCAGGCACAGAAGAGGAAGGCACGGGAGCGCGCGAGAACGGGGAACGGAGAAGGAGAGAGGGGCCCGGGCGGCCGGCGGGCCAGGGGAGGCAGGACAGGAGGAGGAGAGGAGGGAGGGAGCCGGGGCACCGGAGGGCGCGAGCGCAGGGGGGGCAGAGCACCCCGGACGCGGGAGGAGGGGGGGGAGGGAAGGAGAGGGCACCGGGAGGGAGAAGGGGGAAAGAGCGGGAAAAGCGGGGGGGGGACAGGGGGGAGCAGAGCCGAAGGGGACCCGAGGAGAAGACGCGGAAGAGCCAGACCGGAGGACAGGAAGCGGAAACACGAGGGACGGAGGAACAGAGGAGGGAGGAAGCGGAGGACGCGCGGGGAGAGGGGGAAACCGACACAGAACCGCGCCGCACGGAGCCCGCGCGAACGGAAAGAAACGCCCCCCGGCGCGGAGGGCAGCAAGGGAAGGACGCAAAAGAACAGCGACCGAGGAACGCCAGGAGGGCACCGAGAAGAAGACAGGGAGGAACACCGAAACGCCCCACCGCAGGAAGGCCGGACGCAGAAGCGGCAACGCCGGGCCCAAAGGGCCCAGGCACGAAGGACGACCGGCCCCAGCCGGGACCAAACGAGAACGGGGAGAGCCACCACCAAGGCGCGAGCACACAACCACCCACCCGCGCAGGGAACGAAGACCCCACGACCCGCGAGGAAGGGAGCGGGACGGGCGACAAGAGAGGCAGGGCAACCGAAAGGCCCCGAAGGACCACCAAGGAAGAAGAGCCGCCGGCGACGGCAGACACGAGGCCGACACCGGGGGGGCGCACGAAGGACCCACCGGCGAACAAGACCCCGGAGGCAACGGGGAAACCCGAAAAGCACGGCGACGAGAACAAGGCGAGCCCAACCACCGAAGAGCCACCAGAGACGAAGAAGGCCGCCACCGAAGACAAGGGGCAACCGCGAGCACGGAAGACGACCAACAAGGCCACCGACGGGCGCGCCGCAGCCCCGAGCGAGGACCCACCGAGAGGAGCAGGAGCGAAAGGGCAGAACAGGCCGGGACCCCGAAGAGCAAAAAGCCCGGGCCACACAAGAGCCAGGAACCCGCAGGGAAGCCGAGGCCAAGGCAGCCCAACGACAACAAGGGCCAAACCAACCCCGGGAAACACGCCGGGGAAACAAAAGGAAAGCAGAAGGAAAGCACAGGAACCCCACCCGCGGCCGGAAAAACCCCAGGGCCGCCGCACCCGCCAAGGCACAACGCCAACCGCGCAAGGAAGAAGCCGGACGCGAAGCAAAGCCAAAAGGGGAGAGAGCAACAGAGGCGCCGGAACCGGCCGAGGACACGCCACCCCCGCCACAGGGGAGGGGACGCGGGGCGACCAACGCGGGAGAGCAACCGAGGGGGCCACGCAGGCGCGGCCGCAACACCAGCACCAAGGGCCGACGCCAGGGCAAAGGGGCCGCCGGCGAAAGCCGAGAAGGCGACCGCAGGGACGAAAAGAGAAGGAGCACCAGACAAGGGGGGGAAGGGCCCAGCAACGGAAGCCGAGGCAAACGGGAGGGGGGACAAGGGAGGGGGGCAGGGAGGGGCGAGGGAAAGACCAAGCACAAAGCCGAGGCGGAGAACAAAAAGGGGGCCGACGGGGACCAAACGGGAAGAGGGGAGCGACCAGGGGACCCACCAGGAAGCCGGGAGCAAAGGGGGGAACAGGAGGAAAAGGAAGAAAGACCGAAACAAGGGAAGCGAGGCCGGCCGAGGGCGGGCGAGGACCGCAGCACCAAAACCCCCGAACCACAAACCAGCCAGGGGGAAACGAAGGCACCGACGGCGGCCCGGACGAAAGCCCCGGGGCACCCCCAGGCAGAGAAGGCGAGGGCACCAGAGAGCGCGGACCGGGCGCGGCCCCAAGGGCGAAACCGCCCGACCGAGGAGCACCAAAAGAAAGGAAGGAACGGAAAGACGCAACGGCAAGAAGGGCGAGACAAGGACGACAGCCGGCCGAGCACCGCCCCAGGGGGAGCGCCAGGGGGGGGGGAAAAAGAAGGAGGGAGCAGGCGCCGAGGCAGCGACGACAGGGAACGGAACCAAGGCACGAGAAAGAAGAAGGACCCCCGGCCCCGAAGCGACGACGGGGCGACCAACGGAAAGGGGCAGGGGGAGGCGCAAAGAGGGAGCGAAGAGCCGGGGAGCACCAAAGACAGGGGGCCAAACCGGACAGGCAGAAAACAGCCGGCCGGACACGGGACGGGCACGAGGAAGGCACCGGAAGGCCCGGCGGACGCACCAACGCGCCGGCCAGAGGCAGGGACCGCAGGAACCGAGGAGGCCGACCCCACGGGGAGGACGGCGGCAGGGGAGGCAGGGACGACAGCCGAGGCGACGCCCGAAACAAGGAAGAACAGGAAAGACACCGCCGCAGAACCCGGCAAACGCGAAGAGAGCACCAACGAGACGCCAAGGGCGCGAAAGGCGAAGGGGGAAAGACAGCGGGGCCGGCCGGGGGCACGGGAGAACCAAGGAAGGGAGGAAGGGGGACCCCGCCAAGAAGCCGGGCCGGGAAAGAAGGGACCACACCAAGCGCACGCACCGAAGGCCGAAGCGGCCGAGGCGGGGCGGGCGACGACAGGAGAGGGGGACCCGACGGCACCAGGAGAGCCCAACCCCGCAACAAACGC